TATACTACACTAGACCATACTATACTGTACCGCATTACATCATACTACAATTTTGCTGTCCTATAGCAACATCTGACAAGCATGGCAGCCTTCGCATCCAGGAGGAGCTTGGCGACCTCGAGTTCAGACACTCCCAGAGACTCCAAAACCGCTTAATTAAGGAATAGCCCTTAAATTATAGTAGGATCCTTAATATGATTTAAGGTATATTCCCTAATTAAGGGATATTGGAGTCTCTGGGCACTGCAGAAGGCAAAGCTAGGAAGCACAGACGAAACCCCAATACCCTAAACCGCTAAACCCTCAAAACCTAAAGCCTAAACCCTAAAACCCTTTACCCTGAAATATGGAACCTAATACCTTAAACCGTTAAAACTTATAACCCTAAACCCCAACCCTACCGGAAATGGGTCGCGAACGTCCAGCCGATTGAACATGACAGCCACCATCAGCGCTGTAACGCCTGCAGTATTGCTCAGAATCCGATTCGAGCTATTGTCATGGTTGTTGTTGCCTACTATTGGTACACTATTCTTGTCACTCTTGGCATAGTTACAAGTGGCCTCTTTGCCTTATCTTACTACACTAGTATTGATACAAAACTGGCATGATTCCACTCGCTGCCCTACCTGTGTCGGTCTGCGAATCAACCTCAGCCTTGTTCTCCAAGAGGGCGCTGCAAGCCTGCACAGCTTTTCGGTTTCAGGGTTTAGGGTTTAGGGGTTTTTGGGTCTAGGGGTCTTTGGGTTTAGGATTTAGGGTGTAGGGGGCTTCGGTTTCGGATTTTGCGGGCCCTTCGCCCTCTTCCGCGCCTGCAGTAGACCTAGCCGCGCGGCGAAGTGGAGAGCTTCGGCACCGATGGTCTGCCTCAGCGTCTGAAGATCTTCGGCGGAGCCACCGATGCTATCTCCCGAAGTCTGTTTCACGGTTTAGTGTTTAGGGTTTAGGGTTTTGGGTTTAGGGTTTTGGGTTAGGGTTGAAGGTTTAGAGTTTAGGGTTCACGGTGTAGGGTCTGAGAAGAAGCGACGACATCCGATAGCTCGGGATCTGCGCTCGGGCGCTGGCTTGAAGTGACGGAAGCCGGGATCCCACCTGCAACAATCCCTTATAAGGGTTCCTTTAAAGGGATCTATAGGGGTTCCTTAAAGGGATCTATAGGGGTTCCTTCAAGGGATCTATAGGGGTTTAGGGTTTAGGGTACTACTTGGAGGATCATGGGACTTAGTAAGTAGGTTATAATTGGGGTTATAAGTCCCCTAAGTGGGGTTATCCTAATTATAACCTACTTGTAACCTTACTTACTAAGTCCCATGAGCCTTCAAGTACCCCAAACCACAAACCTAAAATCCGACCCCCTTCCTTTCTGGAGCCTGGAACGCCCTGGGCGTGGAAAACCAGGAGCACCCACAGCGTACAGGTCGGCAAACTTTACGGACCCTAAGCCTGACCCCCTAAGACCCAAACCCCAAGCCCCCAAACCCCCGCAAACCCTAAACCCTAAACCCTAAACCCTAAGCCGAAGCTTCAGTCTTAAGGCATGCACGGCTCCAGCAGCCGCTCGCTGACGTCCACACCCGAATGGATGATCTGGACCTGAAGCAGGACCGTCCGAAACACACAAAAATAACAGTAGCAATAAGAAGAAGAACTCGAAAGAAGAAGAAGAATAATAATAAGACGCGCAATAATCATAATAATAATAGTAATGGTAGTCGTAAGTCGTAAGCCGCGTGCCACCATGTTTTCGGTATGGCTCTTCCTGGGACACTGCCGATGTGGAATGGAATGACAAAGCAACCACAGAGTCCGTAAATGGGAGTTTCCGAAAATTTGGGGCACCTTATTCTGGGATCCTTATAATAAGGATCCTACTATTTAGGATACTATATTATGGTCCCCTATTTTCGGAAACTCCCAAAAGCGATGAGTCTTAGCACGGATCCACTTGGCGGTGAGGGCCAGCAGCAGCTGCCCAGGCCCGTCTTCCCTCGGCACCCAATCATGCGCGTGCAGCTCAAGCCTAAAAAATGAACTCTAAACCCCTAAAACACTAAACCCTAAACCCTAAGCCCTGAATGTAAACTGAACCCCTATACCCTAAACCCTAGAAGTCCCTAAACCCTGACGGAGCCCCGACGGCGCCGAGGCCGGCGCAGGCCATCCTCCAGGCCGTCGCCGTCATCCGAGCTGTCGGATTCCGACTCGGACTCGGAGCCCTCGGCACATCTTCTTGACAAGATGCTCTATATATATATATGTATATATGTATATATATATATATATATGTCTTATTCGTATTATTACTGTTAGTATTATTATTGTTAGTGGTATTGGTGTTCTTATTATATATATATATATATATATATATATATATATATATATATATTATGTATACATATTATGTGTGTATATATATATGTATGTATATATATATATATATATATATATATATATATATATATATACGTATATATGTATATATGTATATATGTATATATGTATATATGTATATATGTATAAATGTATATATGTATATATGTATATATGTATATATATGTTTATGTATGTATGATGTAGTAAATAATATATAGTCTCGTACCATGTACTGGATCAGATATGTGTAAAAATAAGATAGTAGAAGATATTGTGTCGAGAAGTACGAGAAATGCGGCAGCAGTATGTACTACATACCATGATGTCAGCCACACAACGTCAGCGTTGCTGGGCTGTGCCTCTTCAGCATTCTTCCCCTTGAGGAAGGTGAAGGCAGACTTCGACATGGGCATATTGCCCCCATTCAAATTGTTGCGCCTGCGTTGGGTTTAGGGTACCAGGGTTTTTAGGATTTAGGGGTTTAGGGGTTTGGGGTTTAGGGCTTAGGGTGTAGGGGTTCAGGGTTTAGGGGTGAGGGGCTTTTAGGACTTAGGGGCTTTTAGGGTTTAGGGTTTTGGGGGTTTTAGGATTTAGGGTTTAGGGGCTTTTGGGGTTTAGTGGTTTTTAGGGTTTAAAGGTTTTTAGGGTTTAGTGGGGAAGACAAGGCGTAAGAACAAAACACGAATGAGGCTTGGGGCGTGTCAAACTAGGAGGACCTGCTGTCGCTAGGCAGAGGCGAGCACACACTCTGTGTCACTCGTCTTGTGACAATCCCAAACCCCTCTACCCCTAAACACCTAAAGCCTAAAATCCTGAACCCTTAAACCCTGAACCCACCCTAAACCCCAAACCCTACAGTAGAAGCCAAAAAGTTGGAATATCACTATCGTAACCCCTTTAAGGTAAATTATAGGGGATCCTACCATTAATCCATATTCCAACTTTCTGGAGTTCCCTTTAAACCCCTAAACCCTAAACTGTAAACCCGAAGCTTCAGATGACTCTCTTCGTGTCAAACGGCCTGTTCAGCAAGCGGGTGTTGACCACTTCTTGCAGGCTTTGCCTTGGCGTCAAAGGCAACATATATCAGAACGTATCATGTCATATCAGATCATAGATATGTCACACACCACATATCCTAATACTGTATGCCATGTTAAAGCCATATTATACCACATATCACATGGGTGGTTGTCAAAATTAGGGTCCCTTTTTGGGCACCCTAAATATTAGGTTCCGTATTATAATAGGGACCCAAAGAGGGACCATACGGAATACGTAATACATCGTATACAACAATACCTGGTAAAGAGTCGAGCAGAACTAAACCCTGAATCCTAAATCCTATATAAACCCTGAATCCTAGCAAACCCTAAACCCTAAATCCTAAACCCTAGCAGCTAGTGGAGTCGGGAAAAGGACTTCCTGGAGCCCCTTGTTGCTGAGCCCCGCGCCTTCTCCCGGCCTTCTCCTTTTCCGCATCACTCTCCTGCTTACAGGATCAGGGGACTTAGTAAGAATAGAAGTAGAAGAACCCTAATTGGGGTTAGAAGTAGAGTTACCTTATTTAGAACCCTAGTTACCTAGACCCAAGAGTAACCTAGGAATAAAAAGGGTGCCCTTTTTGGTTTAAAGGGCTTATAATAAGGGACTTGAACCCTTAAAAAGGGAATAAGGGCCTACTCTAGGTCCTAGTTACTGAGTCCCATGATCCTTTAAGTGGGAGTCCATGTAGAGTTTAAGGTTTCGGATTAAGCTTCCGAGATTTAGGGTTTAAGGGATCTATAGGTTATAAGAGTACCTCTAAAGGGATCTTTAGGGTTTTGTGAGGGTTTAGGGGTTAGGGTTTGGGGGCGTTTAGGGATTTAGGGGTTAGGGGGTGTAGAATTTAGGGTTTAGGGTTTAGGATTTAGGGTCTAGGAGTCTAGGGGCTTAGGATTTAGGGTTTCGGGTTTCTGCGGAGCCCGGCGGCCTCCATGTCGGCAGCCAGGCGAAGCCCAGCGATGGCCGGCGTCGGAAGTGCCGCGCGGGCACAGACTTCGGACTAGGGTTTAGGGTTTAGGGGTTTAGGATTTAGAGGTTTAGGATTTAGGGGTTTAGGGCTTAGGGTGCTGATGCCGCTTGGCTGGGATGTGGCGACAGGACGAGTGCGAGATGTTTAACGCCAAGCCTAAACTTTTGACCCACTGCCGATTGCTTGAGCAATGTACTAATGTTGGGTACTGCCCCCATACAGTAACAGTCGATAATGGGGCTACTATTGAGGTCCTAATCTATCTATATTATGAATATTATCCAACTGTTACTGAGTGGGGGCAGTACCCAATACTAATGTGCCCTGTGATGCACTGTTTGGAGCCCTAGCTGAAACAGCTGCGAGGGGAGAAAGGTCAAGGAGCTTTCGGGGCGGGTTGCTGCAAGGATACTATACAGTAAGGGTGAGTACAAGGATTAGAGTAGAGGGGGTACCATAACTGTAATATGGGGGGCCTCAACAATTACCTAGACTATTTTAGGGGGCTCCTTATTATGTTTTTGGTATAGTGGGCCCGAAAACCCTATTCTAATTACTATAACTGCTTGCGTGCTGCAATATCTCCGACAGGCTCCAGCAGTTCAGCAAGAGCCTCGGTCACCTCGTCGGACTCCACGGCGTTGCTCAGCTCCTGGGGATTTATGGGTTCAGGGTTTAGGGTTTAGGGCTTAGGGTTTAGGGTTTAGGGCTTGGGGTTTAGGTTGAGGGGTTGGGAACTGTAAGTGATTTGCAAGAGCTCTTGAGGGTTTAAAGTAGGATTTATGGCCTCTTTAATTAGGGTGGCAACCCCTGAACCCTAAACCCTTGAAGATATTGCTTGCTGCTTCACCTTGATCTCCGTGCGGATCTGGATTGCCCCCTCGAAGTCGTCCTTGGCCACTGCGTCCTGGATTAAGGTTAAGAGTACCCCGCCCCACGTACCCAACTAGGAACAATTGCCTTGGAGAGTTTGTCGCGGCATATGCTCAAACCGCATGAGTAAGATAATCTACGCTCGAGAGTTTCTGGTAAAAAACCACATGTTTAAGGCCGCGAAGTGAGGAAAAGCATAGCGTCAGATAGACGATCCTAGCCTAGTAGTAGTGCTAGTAGTAGTCGTCGTCGTACTAGCAGTAGGTCGTGGTGGCAGCCGTATTATTAGCAGCAGTAGTCGTCGTCGTAGTAGCAGCAGGAGCAGCAGCAGCAGGTGTAGTAGCAGCATAGTAGTAGTAGCAGCACCACCACCAGCTGTAGGAGCAGGAGGAGTAGTAGGAGTAGGAAAGTTGCGCTCCGGGAGCAGGAGGAGTGCACTTGCAACCATTCTAATGGCTGTCGTCATGGCAAGTGTAGCCAAGTGTAGCAGTTGGCGCAGCAGTAGTCGCTGGAGAGAGAGTGGACGCACGGGCAGGGGGAGCAGCAGTGGAAGCAGGAGGAGGAGGAGGAGTTCTGAGGAGAAGCGGTGCAAGCAAGCACACTTAGTACTGGTATGTTCACTCTTGTTATCATGAGTGCTATTAAGTTGTCACTGCTATGGACTGACGATGATGATGGTGATGATCATGATGAGGATCATGATGAGGACTGTTGATGATATACATCCTGCCTTACCCATAATAAGGAGTATACCTAACCATTTAGGGTCCTTAAGGTCATGCAAGATGTATATCATCAACCGGGATCACGGCATGATCATCATCATGACCATGACCATAACCATGATGATGACCTTTATGGTTACTATTACTACGGCTACTTAGCACAGCCCAAGACAGTTCAGGATGCGCCTTCTTCTTGTCCTCTGCTTGCTGCAGACGCTTTAGAACATCTCCGTTCGCCTCGTGCGATCTCCAAGCACTTACCGGGGTTTGGGATTTCGGATGCAGGCTTTATGATTAGGGTTCAGGTTCTAGGGCTTAGGCTTTTCGGTTTCGGATTTTCGGGCCCCTGGCAACAGGTCATCAGTCAATCGCCCATAATGATAATAGTAATAGTAATACTAATAATACTAATAATAGTAATAATAGTAATAATAGTAATAATAGTAAAAAAATGTAATACTAGTAATAAGAGTAGTAGTAATAATAATAATAGTAATAATAGTATTATCCGTGCCTTGCAGCGCAGGGCCTCTTCGAATCGGCCCAGGGCACACAGGCTCCGCACGAGGCTGTCAGCCTTCAGCACCGGGTGGTTGTCAAAATTAGGGTCCCTTTTTGGGTACCTGTTATAGTACGGCATCTAATATTTAGGGTACCAAAAAGGGACCATAGTTTTGACAACTACCCATACGAAATCCCTAACCCCTAAACGAAACCCCAACCGCAAAACCCAGGCCCTGGACCCCAAACTAAACCCTAAATTCCGCACCGTGACACCCCTAAACTAGATGATCCATGGCTCTCCGTGTTGCAAGGCCTGAAACAAACTCCCAGAATCCTAAACCCTTACAGTAAACCCTAAAATCCTAAACCCTTATAGTCTAAAGCCCTTAAATCCTAAAGCCCTTAAACCCTAAAACCCTTAAGCCCTTAAACCCTAAAACCCTAAAGCCCTTAAACCCTAAAACCCTAAAGCCCCTAAACCCTAAAGCCCTTAAACCCTAAACCCTAAAACCCCTTAAACCCTGAAACCCTTAAACCCTAGAGCCCTTAAACCCTAAAACCCTTAAGCCCTTAAACCCTTAAACCCAAAAGCCCTGAAACCCTAAACCCCTAAACACTAAACCCTAAACCCTAAAAGCCCTTAAACCCTAAACCCCTAAACACTAAACCCTAAACCCTAAAAGCCCTTAAACCCTAAACCCCTAAACACTAAACCCTAAACCCTAAAAGCCCTTAAACCCTAAAACCCCTAAACACTAAACCCTAAAACCCTAAAAGCCCTTAAACCCTCCTAAACCCTAAACCCTAAACCCTAAAACCCTAAAAGCCCTTAAACCCTTAAACCCTTAAGCCCTTAAACCCTAAAAGCCCTTAAACCCTACTAAACCCTAAACCCTAAAGCCCTAAAAGACCTTAAACCCTAAGCCCTAAATGCAAGGCTTGAAACAAACCTCAAGGCTCCCATAATGATAAACGTAATAATAAAAATAATAATAATAGTAATAATAATAATAGTAATACTAGTAATACTAGTAATACTAGTAATACTAGTAATAATAATAATAATAATAGTAATACTAGTAATACTAGTAATAATAGTAATGATAGTAATGATAGTAATAATAGTAGTAATAATACTCTAATAGAAACAATAGTAATAATAGGAATAATTAGTAATACTGGCAATAATAATCATAGTAATCATGATAGTAAACATGGTAATAATCATAATAATAAGGCTCCCATTCCACCGTGGCGGCCTCGGAGTCGTTGCTTGCATCCAAGTCCTGTCCGCACAGAGTTTACTTGGAGGATCAGGGGACTTAGTAAGGGTTCTTAAACGGCTCCTGAAAGGGATCTATCTAGGGTTCCTTAAAGGGATCTATAGGGTTCAGGGTTTAGGGTTTAGCATTTTCGGGCCAATTTAGGGTTTAGGGTCTGAGTCTTCGGGTTTAGGGTTTTGGGATTTCGGGCCAATTTGAGGTCTAGGGTCTGAGTCGGTTTCGGATTTAAGGCCACTTTAGGGTTTAGAATCTGAGTCTTCGGGTTTACAGTTGCCAATTTAAGGTTTAGGGTCTTAGTCTTCGGGTTTAGGGTTTTAGGGCCCATGTAAGGTTTGATGCTGTAGGGCTCAGGGAATGGCACTTCGAAGACCCGGTGCTAACCGGCCTTGTCCTTTTTAGGGAAATAGACAAGGCCCTTTACCCTAGTCCCTTCATAAGAAGCCCTTAAAGAAGGTACCTTAACCGATCTGTCTATTCTCTATTAGGGGACCATAACAAAGGACAGCAGTGGGGCTAACAAAAGCCACGAGGGTAGTTGTCAAAATTAGGGTCCCTTTTTGGGGTCCTTATTATAGTACGGCACCTATTATTTCGGGTACCCCCAAAAAGGGACCCCCTAATTTTGACAAAACCCTATACCCTTATAGAATCCCTATAGATCCCTTTCAGAAGGACCCCAAAAAGGGACCCTAATTTTGATAACCACAACCACGAGGAGTGGCCTCCTCTCTGCCGAAAGCTTCGAAGGCTCGGCCGAGACTTTCCGGCGGCCTCGTTCACCGAAGCAAGCTTAGAGGATCATGGGACTTAGTAAGTAGGGTTCTTAAAGGGCTCCTTAAAGGGATCTATAGGGTTTTTTAAAGGGATCTATAGGGTTTAGGGTTTAGGGTCTACTTAGAGGATCATGGGACTTAGTAAGTAGGTTATAACTGGGGTTATAAGTCCCCTAAGTGGGGTTATCCTAATTATAACCTACTTATAACCTTACTTACTAAGTCCCATGAGCCTTCAAGAGGGTTCAGGGTGTTGGGGGTTTTAGGGTTTTAGGGTGTTGGGGGTTTTAGGGGTTTAGGGTTTAGGGTTTCGGGGTTCAGGGTTTAAGGTTTAGGGGGCTAGGGTTTAAGGTTTAGGGGTTTAGGGTTTAAGGCTTAGGGGTTTAGGGTTTAAGGCTTAAGGGTTTAGGGTTTAAGGGTTCAGGATTTGGGGATCCAGTGTTTAGGGTTGTGGGTTGTTAGGGCTTTCGACCTTTTGGGGGCTTGAGGGTGAAGTCCTTGGTTCAGGATTCAAAAACCCCAAACCGAGGTAAGGCGGAGGGTAAGAAAGTCCCCCTTAACCCAAGCAAACCCCCAAACCCCAAAGACCCAAACCCCAAAAGCCTAAACGCCTAAAACCCCCCAAACCCCCTCATAGACCCCGAACCCTTAAAGGAATACTTAAGGGAACCCTCAAAGGAACTAAGGAACCCCTTACAGGAACCCTTAAAAGAACCCTTAACGGAACCATTGCAGGAACCCCTTGAAGGACAGGACCCGGTTCGGCCTAGGGAAGCTCAGAGCGGAAGGCCCTGGGGCAGCCCGCAAGGTGAAATCATCGACATCCAGCATCTGCCAGGATTTCGTGTTTAGGGTTCCCCAGAGAGCCCAATACCCCTCAATTAAGGAATATGGCTTAAATCATAATATGAATCCCCTTATAATTTAAGGTATACTCCTTAATTTAGGGGTATTGGGCTCTCTGGGTCAGGGTTTACAGTAAACCCCATAAAGTTGGAAACTGGACTAAGGCCAAATAGTGATGGGATTCCCTGCACATTACTCTTAAGGATGGAGGCTCTGGGGTTTGCAACTCTTGGGCTTCTACTGTAAAGGAAGCCTCGGAGGCCCCTTTATTTCGGGACATTTTTTGCTGCACGTTGAGGCCGCGACCTGTCGACTGAAGGCAAGAGAAACCGTTTTAGGTTAGATTAATTGAGGCTCGGGATATTGGAGTCCCCTACACTCTAAACCCTCTAGAGCCCTTCTACTAACCCTTAAAGGAACCTGAATCCTAAAAAAGCCCTCACAACCCAAAACCCTAAACCCTAAACCCTAAACCCTAAACCCTAAACCTTAAACCCTAAACCCTAAACCCTAAACCCTAAGAACCCTTATAGATCCCTTTAGAGGCCTCCTAGGAGGATCGAGGGCTTAGGGTCGAGGGTTTAGGGAGGGTTCAGATGTTAGGGTTTAGGAGGGCTTAGGGTTGAGGCCTCCAGGGCTCTTTAAGGGTTCTTAGGGTTTAGGGTTTAGGGTTTAAGGTTTAGGGTTTAGGGTTTAGGGTTTAGGGTTTAGGGTTTAGGGTTTAGGGTTTAGGGTTTGGGGTTTAGGGTTCAGGGTTTAGGGTTTTGGGTTGTGAGGGCTTTTTTAGGATTCAGGGCTTGGGGTCTTTCGGGCTTTAGGGTCTGGGGCTTTCGGGGGTTGCGGCTTGAGGGTTCAAAGGTTTAGGGCCGTGGCGCTGAGGGTTCGGGGCTTTTGAGGTTTTAGGGTTGAGGGTGTTTAGGGTTTATAAGGGTTGGGAAGCGAGATTCCCTGTGGTGAACGCATTCCCAACACGATGTCAATACCCAAGGCTTCGGGCGGAAGCTCCCTCGACTTCTACACCCAGAGAGCCCAAAACCCCTTAATCAAGGAAGTTACCTTAAATCATAAGGGGATTCATATTATGATTTAAGCTATATTCCTTAATTACTAGTAAGGGGTATTGGGCTCTCTGGGCAACGCTGTAAAACTGCTGAAGCGCCTCCGCCACTGCATCTGCAGGCGTTGACACTGGAGCACCACCTGTCTGACCGAAGAAAAGAGAAACTGTTGCTGTCGCTCTTAAATTAAAGGATCATGGGACTTAGTAAGTAAGGTTAGAAGTACCCTGATTGGGTGTTATAAGTAACTATAAATATAGTTACCTTATTTAGAACCCTAGTTACTAAGTCCCATGATCCTTTAAGTTCGCTAGCTGAGCAGCCAAATGCGTAAAGGCAGCCATGGACACCCAGAAAACCCCATACGCCCCTTGACAAGCCTTGTTTTGCGGTGATTTGAAGAATAATTAAGGGGTACGGTTTCTCTGGATATGCCGATTCCTAGAGCCTAAGGAGTCATGCGAGCATTGATGCAATGATGGTGCACAGCAGGAAGGAGTCATGATATCAGTGACACATTGATGTCGCAGGGCGTTGTTCAGTCGATTATAGGCTATAGGCATATAGGGGCATGCATACTGATACTGGGGCTTCGGGGTGTGCTATAGTACAGTTATATCTTACAAAAAGGGAACCCTAACGAATAGTGTTAGTACCTCAAGGCTCCTATCCTGAACCCTACACCCTCCACCCTAAACCCTAAACACTACACCCTAAAGCCCAGAGCCTCAACTTTCCCCTACACCCTGAACCCCAAACCCTAAAGCCGAAAGCCTAAACCTAGATCATGGTTGGGATAGGATTAAACATTTACATTCATATTCCTTATTGGGTTTAAGTACCCATCAAAATGTAAAAGGTTACCCAACTATGACAAAGAAATACTGTCAGCTCACGCAATGCCTCTGGCACACCAGGGCCTAAGTAGGTTAGAAGTAGAGGTATAAATACCCTAAATGGAGTTACCCCAATTATAACCCTACTTATAAACGACTTACTAAGTCCCCTGCCCCTCCAAGTAGACCTTAAACGCTTCAAGGAACCCTATAGAGCCCTTTAAGGAACCCTATAGATCCCTTTAAGGAACCCACAAGAGCCCTTTAAGAGCCCTTACTAAGTCCCCTGCCCCTCCAAGTAGACCAGGGCCCACCTCGAGATGAGGACGATGGCTGTGCCGCGCTGTCGGAGGGCCAATCTGGGGAGGGACTTTCGGCTTTCGGCTTTGGGCTTTCGGGTTTGGGGCTTTGGGGTTTAGGTCTGAAGAGTTTAGGGTTTGGGGGATGTTGGGGCTTTTGGGGTTTAGGGGCGTTGGGGGCTTTTGGGGTTTAGGGGTCAGGCTTTCGGGTTTGAGGGATTTAAGGGTTTTGGGGGTTTGGTGGCTTTGGGGGTTTAGGGGCTTTGATGGGCTTTGGGGTTTAGGGTTTCGGGCTTCGGGGCCTAGTGTTTTGGGGCATTCCACGGTGAAAGCTTGGGACACGTATGTAGTGGCCTGAAGGCGAGGACGGCGAGGCTGCAGGTGCCGGGAAGTCGAAGGACGCCCATTCTTGGGACAGAAACTTTTAGCAGGTGCAGGCGCAGAACAAGTGCCAGGCGTGCCAGGAGTGTACACTGAGGTCTGGACCCCCGTTGCTTGCCGACTCTGCCGGTCGGCTTTGTCCAGCTTGCCCGGAGCCTAGCGCTCACACGTCACGCGTCGCTCCGCGCGTCGATCTCGAATCGATCGCTGTGAAAGGCGGCCTGCGTCGCCGCGTGGCTCCTCCATGGCACCCGAAAAGGCATCCCACTTGTCGTTTGCAGCACTGGGGCCTGCAGCGCCATTCCACACAAGCCGCGTTTACGACTTCTCAAAGCAAAACTTCGCTTGCCTGCTGAATGCCGACTCTCATCCAGCTCATCGAAGGCATCCCACTGCGGAGATGGGCTTGGCTTCGCCGGACCTGCAAACCAATGGCGGCAGATGAAACAAGCAGCACGGCATCACAAGCTGGGACATATGAGGGCATGCTCTTGACTCCACATTCGAGCACCTCCAGATGCCGACGATGGCTGTGCCGGGAAGTCGAAGGACGCCCATTCTGCAGGCGAAAACGCGCTTTACGCAAACACGGGTCTCGAAATCTGAGGCTCCGTCCTCCTTCTTCTGCCGCGTGGTTCGTGGCAGCACCTACAAACCAATGGCGGCAGATGAAACAAGCAGCACGGCATCACAAGCTGGGACATATGAGGGCATGCTCTTGACTCCACATTCGAGCACCTCCAGATGCCGACGATGGCTGTGCCGGGAAGTCGAAGGACGCCCATTCTGCAGGCGAAAACGCGCTTTACGCAAACACGGGTCTCGAAATCTGAGGCTCCGTCCTCCTTCTTCTGCCGCGTGGTTCGTGGCAGCCGTTGCAGCACCTGTGCTCGGATCTCAACATGACTCGACAAAGCTCCCGCCCCAATTCTTCCAGAGGCACCGGAAGCCGCACTCGGCAATGATGCATCGGGCTGCCCGGACTGTGCCGGCAAGTCGAAAGACGCCCATTCTGAGTCCGGGTTGGCTTGGGATGACAGTCCTCATGATCTTCAGCACTGGGATTTGGACCGTCTTGGCTCTCCGGCTGTGCGGTGCCGGGGCCTGCTTTCATTCTATCAACGCTCTCCCACATTCAAGGAACGGGTTCGTGTGATCACGCAAGCTGGCAGCAGCATGCAAGAGGCAGATCGTGCTGAGTGAGCTGCCCATGCTCGGCTGCATCTGACTGGCTGGCTCCTTGCATATGGTGTACGCGTGGATGCAGGCTTGGGAAGTCGAGAATCAACAAAACACAGCTTTGCACTTGCCTGCGCCCCGTCCACTGGAGCAATGCTTGCACCTTGTGTTGCAGGTGCAGTCAGCAAGTGAAGCTAGGCGGCTCTCACCAGTCGCAGACCACCTGCCTGCCGCTGCTGCAGAAGCCTCAGGTGAACATGCACTGCCGAGACATGCCTATCAAAAAAGAGCGGAGAACGAGCATTTGTAGAATACGCAGATCATGCGTCACCAGTCGAGCACAGCCCGAGCACAGCACATCTGTGGGCCCCGGTGCCGGCATGGGTGCCGGGAAGTCCGCGAACATGTCGCCCGCTGGCTCCTCAGACGCCCTGCCACCTGCACGTCGGAACGGCCAACCCAAGACAGTAAAGCAGTCCCCATGATCGCAAGTGATGGCTGCTTGTATCATGCTTGCGCTGGTGGCCTGACGGCGAGGACGGCGAGGGTGCAGGTGCCGGGAAGTCGAAGGACGCCCATTCTTGGGACAGAAACTTTTAGCAGGTGCAGGCGCAGCCAGGCGTGCCGGGAGTGTACACTGAGGTCTGGACCCCCGTTGCTTGCCGACTCTGCCGGTCGGCTTTGTCCAGCTTGCCCGGAGCCTAGCGCTCACACGTCACGCGTCGCTCCGCGCGTCGATCTCGAATCGATCGCTGTGAAAGGCGGCCTGCGTCGCCGCGTGGCTCCTCCATGGCACCCGAAAAGGCATCCCACTTGTCGTTTGCAGCACTGGGGCCTGCAGCGCCATTCCACACAAGCCGCGTTTACGACTTCTCAAAGCAAAACTTCGCTTTCCTGCTGAATGCCGACTCTCATCCAGCTCATCGAAGGCATCCCACTGCGGAGATGGGCTTGGCTTCGCCGGTGCGGCTGCACCTGCAAACCAATGGCGGCAGATGAAACAAGCAGCACGGCATCACAAGCTGGGACATATGAGGGCATGCTCTTGACTCCACATTCGAGCACCTCCAGATGCCGACGATGGCTGTGCCGGGAAGTCGAAGGACGCCCATTCTTGGGACAGAAACTTTTAGCAGGTGCAGGCGCAGCCAGGCGTGCCGGGAGTGTACACTGAGGTCTGGACCCCCGTTGCTTGCCGACTCTGCCGGTCGGCTGCCGCTTTGTCCAGCTTGCCCGGAGCCTAGCGCTCACACGTCACGCGTCGCTCCGCGCGTCGATCTCGAATCGATCGCTGTGAAAGGCGGCCTGCGTCGCCGCGTGGCTCCTCCATGGCACCCGAAAAGGCATCCCACTTGTCGTTTGCAGCACTGGGGCCTGCAGCGCCATTCCACACAAGCCGCGTTTACGACTTCTCAAAGCAAAACTTCGCTTTCCTGCTGAATGCCGACTCTCATCCAGCTCATCGACGGCATCCCACTGCGGAGATGGGCTTGGCTTCGCCGGTGCGGCTGCACCTGCAAACCAATGGCGGCAGATGAAACAAGCAGCACGGCATCACAAGCTGGGACATATGAGGGCATGCTCTTGACTCCACATTCGAGCACCTCCAGATGCCGACGATGGCTGTGCCGGGAAGTCGAAGGACGCCCATTCTGCAGGCGAAAAGGCGCTTTACGCAAACACGGGTCTCGAAATCTGAGGCTCCGTCCTCCTTCTTCTGCCGCATGGTTCGTGGCAGCCGTTGCAGCACCTGTGCTCGGATCTCAACATGACTCGACAAAGCTCCCGCCCCAATTCTTCCAGAGGCACCGGAAGCCGCACTCGGCAATGATGCATCGGGCTGCCCGGATTGTGCCGGCAAGTCGAAAGACGCCCATTCTGAGTCCGGGTTGGCTTGGGATGACAGTCCTCATGATCTTCAGCACTGGGATTTGGACCGTCTTGGCTCTCCGGCTGTGCGGTGCCGGGGCCTGCTTTCATTCTATCAACGCTCTCCCACATTCAAGGAACGGGTTCGTGTGATCACGCAAGCTGGCAGCAGCATGCAAGAGGCAGATCGTGCTGAGTGAGCTGCCCATGCTCGGCTGCATCTGACTGGCTGGCTCCTTGCATATGGTGTACGCGTGGATGCATTCTTGCGAAGTCGATGCAGGTCATCTTGCCAAAGCATGAAAATGCATGAACGAAACACAGCTTTGCACTTGCCTGCACTGCATCCACCGGAGCAATGCTTGCGCCTTGTGTTGTAGGTGTAGTCAGCAAGTAAAGGCGGAAGGCTCTGGCTTTCAAAAAGCCGTTTCAACCACCAGCCGAGTCTCTGCATGGCCCTCAAACCCGAACAATAACAGCAACAGTATGAATCAGTAGAAAACACTGATAAATACAGACAACGTTAGATATATACACATAGAGAGAGAGAGAGAGAGAGAGAGAGAGAGAGAGAGAGAGGGAGGATATGCTCGGTCGCCGACCACCTGCCACTGGACCTTCTGCTGCAGGAGCCTCACACGCGACATCTCCAAGCTTCTAAGGCTTGGCCAACAGCTCTTTAGGAAATCGGACGGACCCCTAAACCCTAAGCCCCCAACCCTAAGCCCTAAACCCTAAGCCCTAAAACCCCAAGCCCTAAACCCTGAAACCCTGAGCCCTAAACCCCAAAACCGGATGACAAACAAACCAGGCCTTCTGGAATGGAGCATGTCCCGTCATGGATCAGAGAACCGTTAGACACACCATCTCAAAATGGGGGTGTCCTTCCCATCTGACAGCAACCCTAAAGCCTAAACCCCTGAACCCAGATGCAGTGCCACCGGAGCCACCAGTGCGGCGAACTCCGCGAAGACATCTCCGCGTGCGGGCTCCTGAGCGGCTGGATCACCTGCGCTGGCGTTGAGCTTAGAACGGCATGGATGGGGCCGATGTCCACAGAACCCCCGCAACAACTCACTTGGCCGCAGCGATGTAGGCTTGACTGGTTACGACTTCAAGCAACTAGTTACCTAGTTGCTGGCTGCCCATCAAGAAGATGGCGAAGACCTGACGATTCGCCATAGTTACTGGTAGCATGCTCCACTTTCATTCGTTCTTCGAGTCAAACTGGTCTGCCAAAGGTTGTTTCTGCAAGCTCATCTATAGATCACTTCATCGAGAAGCCGCCCCACCGCATGACTTGTTCACCGCAAACCTGTGATGCACATGAAAGAGATTGGCTCCTCTGCAAAGGCAGGCCAACGATATGGGAGTTTCCGAAAATAAGGGATCCTAATATAGCACCCTGAATAGTCGGATCCTGATTATAAGGACCCCAAGATGCGGTAACCCTAAGTTTGGGAAACTCCCAAATGAGAGATGAAGTCCTCTCCCAAAGATCGACGGTCGTAGACGTTACATCGGTTGGTATTCGCGCAGCTAGCGCGGTCACAAGGGATCTAATTTAGAGGCCTATTGAAAGCTGAATGGGGTTTAGCAGGGCACAATCACATTCGAAAGGACTACAAGGGAAAAATACGCAGTCTTAATCCTTGCAGCCCTTATGTTAGCTTGAAGCTCCCGATGGAGACCTACTGTCGGGCTTGGTTCAGTGCTTTGGGTTTAGGGCTTAAGCTAGGGCTCAGGGTTTGGGATTTAGGGCTTGCAGATACGGACTTAAGGTCCAGGGGGCAAACAAAAAATTGAGCCTGGGCTTCCAAAAGCTTAAGCCGTTCAGGATGACGGTTTTAAGTTGCCTTTCAAAGAGCTCCTCGGGCTGCCCTAAGGGGTTTAGGGTTTAGGGTTTAGGGTTCAGCGTTTAGGGTTTAGGGGTTTGGGGTTTAGGGTGCAGGGTTTAGGATTTAGGGTTTAGGGGTTCCATGACACAGAGGCTTGAATACTTCGAATCTAAGTCATGTGGCACACATCCCTTCCCATGATCCATTTTGCCGTTGGGGGTGCAGACCATCCAACGGAGACTTCAGCGCATCCCGGAACTTTCGTCGCAGCTTCGAGGAGAGGTGTGCCAGTCTGGCATACTCGGGGGAAAACCTCTCCACTCCTGGCACAGAGTCATCAAGCAGGAGGCTGCAAACAGGTAAAGGGGAGTGAGTTAAACACAGCCAAACGTATGGCAACCAACAAGGGAACTACAAGGGTACGATGAGGTTACTATAACTGTACTATAAGGGTAATAGCAGACGACGGTAAGGGTGCCCTGTACCGTTTCTTTCTGCCCGAACTTCAGAAAGCACGTGTGCTTCAGCCAAGGCTCACTGAGCCCACGCTGCAAACACGCGTTGAACTTTCCTGAGCGAGTCATTCCAGGGCTGCCGTTGTACTGAAACTTCATTGCAAAGCCTCAAACCCTAAACCCTAAACCCTGCACCCTAACCCTGAACCATAAACCCTAAAACCTAACCCTTGACCCAAGCCCACAAACTCAGGACTACCTTTTGGGTCGCTTCCATGTTGGCTCCATGGCCAAGCTTTGCGGCACCTTTACAGTCCTTTACAGGCTCGCGGCATGCAATGGGAACCCTGTGCGTCTGAAGACGCCACGGTGGCGGCAAGCAGAAACGTGTAGCTGTCAAAATTCAGGTCCCGTTTTGGGGTACCCTAAATAATCGGTGCCGTATCATAATATGGGTACCCTAAGTAATAAAAGACGCATCATAATAGGGACCCGAGAAGGGACCGTAATTTTGACAGCCACCCAAATCGGTGCAGCTACCGCAAAGTCTATGCGATTCTATGCGCTGTCGTCACTGTTGCGTCCGGCAAGCTCGTGGCCGTGACAACATCTTGTGACGGAGAAGTAGAGTCCAATTCCCACCAAGGCAAGCAGCATATTCACCGCATAGTAGTATTCCAGGTGGCCGGTGTCTAAATCATCCGGATAGAGCAGTTTGGAGACAATTGCTGTGAAGGCATTGCTTACCTTTGGTTAAAGGGAATGGAGGAAGGGGTATACTTGTAACTACTATTACTACTATTCTTGCATTCCCTACCAACCAAAGGTAAGTTTTCTCATTCTCAAGGCGCCTATATTACAGTACCCTCATGGATCCCTCATGGGGGAATGGATTCCTATACCCCAAAGCTATCCCTTATAGCAACCCTCATAGACCAAAAGTAAGATAGGAGACCGATCCCGAGAAAAAGAGGTTCACCGCTTGGAGGAGGGAGCGAACTTCCGGCGGAGCGCTCCTGGGATCCGTTTTAAGGACCTTAGGGTTTAAGGTCTAGGGTTTAGGGTTTGGGGTTCAGGGTTTAGGGCTTAGGGTTCTTGTTAAGGAGCTCTGGTTTAAGTTACGATCATAGGGATCTATAAGGGTTGCTTTCAGGGATCTATAAGGGCTCCTTTAAGGGTTAAGGAACTTAACCTAAGTTACCATAAATGGCTTCCATGGTTTCCTGACGACGGTAATATAACTTAAATTTTAAAATCCTGAAGAAGCGGGTCCTTTAAGGAGATCTATAAGGGCTCCTTTAAGGGTTAAGGAACTTAGTTTAACTTACATTTAGATTCCTGAAGAAGCACCCAGGCTCTCATATGAGAAGCAATAGAGACACGGGTTTACGAGGATCTCCGCGATTCCCACGAGGATGTAGGGTAAAAAGATCCAGAAGCCGCTGATGTCCCTCATTCTTGTCCCTTCGAGCCCATCCTGGTTTAGGGCTTTTGCAGTTTTGTTTTAAGGTTTAAGGTTTTTTATATAGGGTTTAGGGTTCAGGTTTAGGGTTTTTGCATTCTGGTGTTGAGGTTTAGGGTTTTTTAGGGTTTAGGGTTCAGGGTTTAGGGTTGAGGGTTTAGGGTTTAGCCTCCCTTCTGGCCCGCCCATCCTCCGAATATCCCGGCGCACACTGTGAGAAGCCGACGTCACAAAGAGGAGGGGCCGCCCGTCTCTTCACCTACGGTTTAGGGGGTTGAGGTTGAGGATTTAGGGTTTAGGGGTTTAGGGGTTTAGGGCTTAGAGGTTTAGGGGTTTAGGGTTTGGTGCTTAGGGATTCTTCACGTGGGGCTTTGTCTTCGAAGGCTCGGGTAGTTTGATAAACTCCGATGCGGCCCCAAACCCTGAACCCTTACATCCTAGACCCTGAACCCCCAACGCCGAACCCCAAACCCTCAACCCCAAACCATAAACCTGAGCATCTATTTGGAGGATGAGGGGACTTAGTAAATAAGGTTATAAGTAGCTTAATTGGGGTCATAAGTACTTATAAGTACAGGTACCTTATTTATAACCCTAGTTGCTAAGTCCCATGATCCTTAAGTAAACCCGAAACCCGAAGCTGTGAGAATTCTCTGCCAGTAACAGGGCCCAGCGACTAGGGTGTAAGGGCATTGAGGCTCTATGGGCCTCTCTCTTCTTCAACAACCAGGCCCCAAAAAGTTCTAACTTTCTATGACAGAGCCAATATATAAGGCCAAAAAGTTTAAAGTTCCCCCGTTCACTATTTTCAGGCCTTTAATAGGCTCTCGAGTCCACTAGGGGATCCCGAGTTCATACCTCCAGCATTACCTTAAGGACCCTAAACTATGGGGATTATGGTATATTCCTTATTATGGTTAATGCAGGATTTAGATCATCAACCGCACCTCCAGCACTGCAGCCGAGAAGTTGGAGACTGCGGCGACCAGAAGTCCCGTCACCATTTTCTGTCCCAGGGTCACCTGTGCTGGTTTGGGGGTTTGGGGGTTTAGGGTTGAGGGTTTTAGTGATAATGGTAGCTGAATGGGGATTTGGGGGTTCAAGGTTTAGGGTTTAGGGTTGAGGGTTTAGTAATAATAACCTGAAAGTACAAACGATTTCCAAGTACCCCTAAGATACAGGACTGCCCTTCAGACGCGCGATCAGCGGATACACAGTGGACTCAAAGATGG